GCCAAAGAAAACAGAGGGAAGCAGCCAAGCTGAGGAGCCAGTGTTTGCACCACCATTCCTAGGACACACAGATGGGAACTCGCAAGTTGCCAACCTTGCCTAAACAAATCCATCCCATGAGGCTTCTTCTGGAGCAGTAAGCCCTGGCTAATTTCCTTGCCTGGGTAACTTACACAATGAGGAGTAAGTCCAAACTCTTCTCCCAATCAGTCCTGGAGAAATAAAAAACCTAATAAAAATAATTATAAACAAACTACAAGGATGGTAATGCACCTTCCATTAAAGGCTATTGTGGGGTAGATGAAGTCTGTTGGGAAATGTGCAGAATGGTGGCAATATCTTGCTAAATAAGCTAAGGCTGCAATGTGCTTGTGCTGATAATAAGTAGCATGGAACAACTGCCTCTTCTACAAACCCTGGGATTTATGTCCAGTCTGCCTGCATTGAAAACCAGAGAATAACTCATGAAACCCATATATCAACACATGCAGAAAAAGGAATCACAGTATAGAAATGAAATTATCATGAAATTAGTTAGCTGTAGAACATAAATAAAGGTGCTGACACTTTTCTGCATCTTCTATAGCAAATGTCTTTGCAGAACTCACCAAGCTTGGGCTGTACCTGCTGGCTCCTGTGATTTATTTCAACATTTTCTATCATAGGCAGGTTGTTTGCAAAGTCCTTCAAGTATCATTAAGACAAATCAGGAAACACAACTAATTCTTCAAGAGAAGAATATGATCATGGAAAGACACTTCTTATATAGAATACCTCCATGTGTCAGTGAAGCCTCCAGAACAGTGTCTTCTTGTATTTATTAATCCATTGCCACAGAGATTACTGCAATCTGACTCAGAGCCCTAATTAATTTTTGGCACATTTAGAAATTGTGACTGTCGTTACCCAGGGAGCCTCTTAAATCAACCCCCCTTTTACTGCAGTTGCCTTTTTATGGTGTATGTCACATTCAGAAATGGATTACATGATCCTTAGCTTTAACTATCTTGTATTAGTTGATCGTGGACTACGGATATGTATTGCACAGTTTATGAATCATAGGGGAGCTAGGATATGGATGACAGATAATTTAAACATGAAATTGGTGATGTTTGGGACATGGTAGGAGTAGAGGCAGAGAAATACAGGCAGAAGTCAAAGCAACGAGATGGAAAAGTCAGATATTTATGACAAGCTTAAAATGAAGTTGTTAGTGAAGTGTAGTATTTAGAAAGAGTGCTATCTCATTATTCAAGGAGGTGCTTATTTTCATACTACTCTTTGATCTTCTGATTGCTTCTTCTTCCCTTTTACAATCAGATCCCTTTCAATTTACAAGTGGATATTTAAGGACAATGGTGATTTAGTTCTATGAAGTCATACTCTGCATCTAAGATGAATGAAGATCACAAATTTAACTTGGCCAATATGTAGACATACAGTGTGAATCAGTAGATACAGGGTTTGGCTAACTTCTTGTTCTCAACTTGCTTTGGGAGCTGGGTTAAATTATTCAATGTGCTAGTAGCTCCATTTCCTCACTTATGAAATAGGATAATAATAACTAATCTTTCTAATTCATGAGGTAAGAGCCAAATAAGATCTTATATGTTGCTCTACCTAAGGCATTTGGAAGGCAAGAGGCAGACAGCCACAAGGATACCTGGAGTAAAAGGGTATTTGTTTTCAGGTTAGACATAGACAGGAATAGAAATTGCAAAGACCCTTCCTTGAGACAGCCAAAGCTCATCTCCCATTCAAAGCCCATGTGTTCTTACACTCCTGGCATCTCTCATTCTCTCTGCAAGTTGGTTCCATGCCTCTCCTTCAAACTGTGGCATCCCAGTGAGGTTCTCCCACATGTGGCCCACAGTGGTCACTCTAGACTTGAATCTATCTTGGGACCTTTCAGCTCAGCTACTATAGAAAGCCACCTTGCCTCCTTACTGTTCTTTAGATATGTCCTGCTCATTTCCACATCAGGGCCTTTGCATTTGCACTTCTTCAAATGTACTGCTCCCAACTCTGTGCCTGGTTTCCTCCTTCACTGCATTTCAATCTCTGTTCAAATCTCATTCTTTTAAAGAGTTTCCCTGATCACTCCACTTAATATTACAACATCTGGTACTCTTTTCCCCTTATTTACTTTTATTTTCTTAGTAGTACTATCTATTATTCTCTGACATATATTTATTTTTGTGTCTATTTCATTCACTAGAAGTCAGGTCAGTGAGGTCTGGAATTTTGTCATTGTTGTTTTTGCTTTACTGTGATACATCCTTTGCTTAGAAAACTCCGTCACACCTAAGAGGTGCTAAATAAATATTGATGAATTGTATATATTGTGAATAAGTGAATGAATGTCTCATTGCCCAAGATTTGTAATTCTGAATTTTTAAGATAATTTTTAATGGATGCATTTCATAATTTTCAGAAAGACTGTTTCATCAATTTCTGCTAGCTTATAAGTAAGTTTCTATCCATGTGTCAGCTGCTCACCCCATAGTCTAATCAGGTGGAGTTGAGATGGGGCCATGTCTTATAGTACTGAGCACAGGCACTTAGAGCATGGGGCGCAAAGGGAGGCAGATACCTTAAGGTAGGGCTTGGATGGCACAATCCTGATGGCACCTTGAGTCTCTTGGAGGACCAGCTTAGCTCTGAAAGACACAGAGGCCATCTTCCTGTGGCTAAGAATCTCAAGGTCGAAACTAGGTGAGCTCCTACAAGTACTAGCTCTCTGGCCTTAGTTGTAATTTTCCTTAAACTTTTTATTTACTCTGCATTTTATGTTGAGTCCCCATGAGTAACTAATAACAGTGGTAGTTAATATTTCTAAGCATTCCTAATGAGTCCAACACTTTATGAGCATATTTACGAAGCCTACTTAACTCCTGGGCTTCTCATAACCATATTCTATGGTAGATACTATGATTCACTTCATTTTGCAAATGAAGAAATATGAGAATAGAGACAAAATAAGTTGCCTCAGGTCACTTGGTGAGTAAATAATACAGCCAGAATTTGTACCCAGTAAGTCTGGCTCTACAGCTTTATTTAACAAGGTGATTTTAATCTACTCGCTCCACTGTGGGACTTTGCAAGAAGCTCGCATTTTCTTAGAAGGAACATTCTGATGATGTGACACATATAAATATGATTTCAATACTAAAGTATCATATGCAAGCCATCCTCATTAACCAAACATCTAAAATACATTAAATATACGTTCAGGTCTGTGCAGCTTCACAGACTTAAGATCTAATATTTCCTATAGCAGCTGCATCTCTTTTTATGGGTGTGCATTAGAAATTACTTAATTTTTATGGCCCAGAGTGGTAGCTTTTTTAATTAAGAAAGTCACCAACTTTTATAATAAGCAAATATCAAGCCCTAAAATGCTGTGCTCCACATCATGCTTTCTCTTTGGATTTTGGCAATATGCCCTAACAATATGTGCAAAAAAGTGTCTGAAAGAGTCCTCAATAAGTTAAGGTTTACACTCATACGAATGGCAACACATAATTTTATTGGGTTCTTGAGCTCTCTTTATAATGATAATATGAACGCATAAGGTATAAGATAAATGTTTGAGAAGGAAAGAATTCATTGATCCCCCTTTACGTAGCATTTACCATACACAAGGCACCATGTTAAACACTGAGAGATCCACGACGATACATAAAACTACATTCCAAATTCACACTGAGCACTTTTTTCTGAAACAGAAGAATAAACCTGGAAAGTCAATATGTGACCGCCCCAAATTTTGGCAATATCATACAATGCAAGAAGAAACCAGGGATAAGTCTATCCCTTAAACTTATATAGCTTCCCATTGCTAACTAGTAGGTTTACATGTGAATTTCTCTCTTCAAAAAGGTGTGTGTTTCAATTGCATTAAAATTAAACAGGTGAGAATTTATTTATCCTGTATACTAAGGGTTTAATAAGGATGAGAAAAACGCCATATTTACAAACACCAATCTATGGACTGCAATTCTTTTGTATCTTTAAATAGCATTGTTAGTTCTATTTTTGTTTTTGCACATGTGCTTTTTACAAAAGAATCTGTAAAGTCTTGATTTCCAACCCTCTGGTGAAGTTGTTCAAGATCTTCATGGCCCCATACCCATCGATCATGTGTACCTCACAGATTTCCTTTGTCAGTAGTACATATCAGCATGATTAATGGTTCAGTGCTCATATTCAGGAATCTGATCGGATAACTGTCGTTTCATTTGTTGGAATTTATAATTCAAAAAGCATTGATGAAGTTGTCCACACAAAGAGAGCAATACAAGTTTTACTTATTATGAACAACAAAGCTTGGTAATTTATTAGTGTAAATAGGTTCTCTATGCCAGTGTATTCCCTGGGGATAACTAGGTGATTGAGAGGGGTCATTTAACTTTTTAAAGTGATTATACTACAGCATTAAGCGGAAGCCATTACATCAAAGAATGAGTATCACACTGTGTTGAAGGCTTCCTCACTGGCAGAATGAGGGCCATGAGCTGTTTAGTAAAACTTACTTTTGTTCTGTTTCTGACAGGGAGTAGTAATTATTTACATACTTAAAATATTTATGTATTAATTATTAAATTAGTTATTTACTTATCTAAAGATATGTACTGTTTATGTCTAAAATGACAGAGGGTTATCATTAGAAATAAAAGAGAAAATCAAATATGTTTTCAAAAAAACCCTGAAATCCTACATTCCAAAGATAACTCTTAGTCTTATAGGAGGTCATAAGAATGACATAAGAGACTATGAAGTATCAAAATGCATTGAAAGTTTTCTAGAACCTTGCATTTACCAAATTCCTAGAAATCTGATAAAAGGTGCATTTCAAACTAGTAAATTTTTTACTTTTGTGTTTTTTGTTCTTCAATAAATTTTGTTTATACATCTGGCTATTATTTTAGGGGAAACAGTTTGTTCTCACTGTTTATACCTACCTAGTTTCAAACATATTATAGATTTCTTTTTTCTAAAAAAAAAAACAAAACTGTAATTTTATTTTAATAAAATATGTTAGTGTTCTAAAATCTTGGTTTTAGAAGGTCTTTTAAAATTTTTCAGAAGACCAGACTTAAAAAACAAACAAACAAATTTGGCTAAATATAATAGAAAAACTTAGTATATCAAAAAGACAAACAAAAATGTTATTCATGGATAAAATTACAAGAGAAAAGAATGGAAAGAAATGACAACACATGATAAGGAATTAATTTTGTAATATTGTAAAGGTACTTACTCTTAAAAAGTAATACAAATAAGATAGAAAATACAATAGAAGAATGTATAAAGACAAACACTTCTTCACAAAAGGGCCAAATCAGTAACATGGGCTTTGTGTTCAAAGTATTTACAAGTACGTATTTCACTAATAAAGAATCCATAGTATATATTTTATTAGTTATTCTAGAAAAATTCAGACAATCAGCAAATGGATTGAATTTTATTGTCAACAAGTCATGGAAATTCAGTTGCAACACAGGCTTTGTGTTCAAAGTACTGATAAGTGGATACTTCACTAACAAAGAATCTATAGTGTATATTGTATTAGTATTCAAGAAAAATTCAGACAATCAGCAAATGGAATGAATTTTGTCATCAACAAGCCAGAGAAATTCAGTTGTCTAATTTTTCTAGCTTATGTTATATTGAGTCTGCATGTGATGTCTCTACCTGGAGGAGGGACAGGATAAGACCAGCAGTATCCCACATGGAAGTCCAATAATGTCTTGGAATTCTCTGCATCTCATATGAAAACAGTGCTTTATTTACATCAATGAATGTACTTGTAATTTAATACGGAAATAAATGAGTGATCAGAGTCGTTCAAAATGTAATTTTTAAATACACTTTTGTGATTGATAGTTATGCCTCAATCACTATGAAACTCAGACTATTATTAAAAAGAACCTTACCCTCTTTCTTAGCACTAAATTCAGGCTCTTGTAGATCTTTTGCAATCTCTGCTTTGAGATCAGGTGGTGCTGTGGCATTAAAGTTATAGGTTTCAGTCAAAAAATCCCAAAGCAGGTCTCCATTTTCATTCCCATCAATAAAGCAGTCAGATATGTCCATGGTGGACAAAAGGTCATAGCACTCATACCTAAGCCCTAGGTTGTCCAGCATCTGAGTGAGGTCAGATGATGTGATATACAGGCAGAGGTCATCCCTGGGTAAGCGTGATCCATACTTTTCCCACAGCTTGGCCCAACCACTGCTTCCTGTGCAATAGAACAAAATTCATGCTTTCAATTCTTCTTTCTTTCATTTGCAGTCTGCCAGAAAGTACACTAGATGCTTAGGATAGAATGGTGAACAACATAATAATCTTGTTCTTTGTGGAGCTCACATTTCAAGGAGTACGGGAGGAAAGAGAAAATTAAGTAAGTAAATACATGGTGATAAGTGCTAAATGAAAAACTAATCTGAATAAGTGCTAAGCGGGTTAAAGACTTTGATGGGCTCCTGCTTTAACTAGGGTGATCACAGAGTCTCTCTAATAACCTGACATTTCAGCAGAGACCTAACTTCAAGCAAGGTAGATATCAGGGGGAAGATGACTCCAGGAGAGAGATGAGCAGCTGCAAAGGACCTGAAGCAGGAAGATGCTTGGCTAGTCAAGAACTAGCTAGGAAACCAGTGAAACTGGAGCTGAATGAGAGAGGGCAGAGGGGAAGGAGATAAGATTGGAGGGGTAAGAGGTGGGGAGTGGATGAGGTGACAGATCACGGGAAGCCCAATGGAAAACCATTGTGGTGCTGTCTTATAGACCTTTCTGAACCAGTGGACATTTTCTACATCTGCATTGTCCAGCGGGATTGTCACTCACCATTTGTTGCTATGGAGCACTTGAAAGGTGTCTTAGGACTGGGTTTCCAGTGTGACTGAAGACCTAAATTGTAAGTTTCATTTCATTTTAATTAATTTCAGTTTCAATTTCACTACCAAAATGTGATTTCTGTATGGAACAGCACATTAGGGTGACATAATACACATTTAATAAGGTCACCTGGGCCATACAGATGAGAAGAGAGTACTGGAGCATAAGGGCGAGGTGGGGAGAACTGCCAGAAGGTTACTGGAATCACCTGGGGGATAGGTGGGGGCAGGGTGGGGGCTACGATAGACCAGTTAGCTGGGAGGTAAAGAGAAGTGGTGAGAGTTTTTATGTGATATACTCCTAGATCCAACAGGACAAAACAATTTGGATGTAGGTTATGGGCAAAAGGAAAGAGTCAGAGTGATGATTGCAGTGATTTCTGCCTGGGCACCTGAGAAATCAGAATTGCCATTATTGGAGAGGAGAAGAATGAGGGACAAGCAGTTTTGCATCATCAGGCCTCTGGTTTCAGGAATATAGATTTGAGATATCTACTGGACATTCAGATGGTAATATGAGGAAGATAGTTGTTAGTCTGCAATTCAGACAAGCGTCTTTAAGAGTAAAAATTAAAATGGAAAGAAAGAGCACAGTAAATGATCATTTATTCAGAGCAATAATTTTTTACTCTCATCCCTATATAAAACAAGATGCTGCTTTGGGCTGACAATAACTAGGTGGATTTCTATAAATCTTGTCCCCAAGTTTAGAAGACCTTTTAGCAACATTTATAGTATTTAATTGAAAATCTAGCCCTGCAGAGAAGCTAAGAAAAACCTTATCTGAGGGAGACAGACATGAGCTGAACTCTTCTTCCGCTGCTTTATGAATGAGATGAGACTTGTTATCTACCCTCTCAGAACTTCAATTTCCTCATCTGTAAAATGGGGATTATCATACTTACCTTGAATGCAACCACAAGCATTACATGAGATAATTTAAGTGAATTATTGCATAATGGTAAACACGTGGAAGATGTATAGTAAGTGCTTATAAGATAAATGAATTAGTTTGCTAGTGTATTTCCACTAATTGCAATCTTGAGACTAAAAGAGCAAACCTGCTGTTCAAAAATATGTAATAATAGTAATGAGTTTATACTTATGGGCCTTCTAATAATATATGCATATTATATACACAGTGAGTACAGGGAGGTAATAAAAAGCATGGTCTTTAAAACCCAACTGCCTGAGTATGAAGCCTGGCTTTCCCTCTTACCAAGTTTATGAACCCATGTCTCAGTTTTATCTTCTGTCAAACAGGGGTGATAATATAATCAATTCATAGACTGCAACAAGGATTAACTGAGTTAGTAAAGTAAAGGCCCTTAGAACCATGACACATTAGTTAATGTTGCTCAAGTGTTAAATTGGACTTGGCGAAAGGAATATGAGAGACAACCTATACTTTCTATGTGCTTGTAGAATTAAATGTCTTGAGGTTTTTTTGGTTCCCAAGTCCCCTTTGTGGTCTAATGAGAGCAAATGACTCTCCAGAAAAATACACAACAATACATACCCACACAGTTCTGAATATGATTAGAGAATGCTCAAAGACCCTTGGCTTTCATCCACAGATTAAGCTAAATTTCCCAGATTAATTCAACCCAAGAGATTATCCAAGACAAATAATAGGCTAAGTAATAAACAGCTTAAGATAATTGATGTTCTACTACTATTTCAGAAGAGGAAGAGCTAACTGCAGGATATGCTCTAGGAGAAGGGGGAATTGGAATGAAGCAGAAAGCATAAAACCTCCATTCAATGAAAGTAAATGAGGGTTGTATTTATTAAAAAATCTTTCATTCCAAAGACAGCGAATTGTCTTCCCAAATAAGAGTTTGCCGGCAAACAAGACATTATAAGAAAATAAGCATTTCAGCGGTTGAAGGGAGGCTCTGTTACCATCATCATTATTATTTTTAACCTGGCAGAGAAAAAAGAACCAAACACTAATTGCAGAAAATTTGCTGGTGTCAGTGCTGTGACTCGGTGCCATTTCTGAGCTGAGCAGTTACGCACTCCCTGACTGATGCATTATCATGATGGCTCTCGGTGGGCACAACATATGGTGTTACTTTTGTTTTCAACGTGATATAAACCAGATTCTTTTTTTCTCACTGCACTAAAAATAACACACAGTGATTTGCCTCCTTCCTTAGTCAGGTAAGGAGAGGACAGACAGAAACCTTCAGGGATCTCCTTCTGACTCGTCTCCCTTAACCTGACAGGCCACCTTTTAAATAGCAATGCTCCCAGTTGATGCTAGGCTACAACATTTTCAGAAAAAAACATTTCTTTGACGTCATTTTAGTGTGGGATACTCCACGTTTTTTTTAAGAAATCCAACTCTCTTGTTCTTATGTCTCTTCTTTTTTATCCCCAAATCAAATTTCTTTCATCTCCATTATCAGGAATTTCTGCTAGTTATCGCTAAGTGACTGTCTCTTGAGTTGGGGTAGTTCTGTAATGGATATTCAGGAACACAGAGAAAAGGTTGATTTCTGTCAAGCAACATGTATTTCAATAGGATGACCAGTAAATGTTGTCATTTAATTCTGATTTCAATTTCTTTTTCTTTCCCTAATGAGTTTTACTTGTTTGTCCTTCATTGCTTTTGTCTGGCTGCTTCCATTTGCAGTGTGTGTGTGTGTGTGTGTGCGTGCACGCCTTTTTTATTGAACCTTTTATTCCTATTTATTAAACTCCATCTGCAAATATCCAGAACTTCCTGTGTTCTCTGATTTCATCAAGTCAGTTTTAGCTGAAATATATTCTCTTTTTTTTTGTATGTTCAGAGCTTATTGTAGTTCTGATATCATAAGGCAGAAATAATAAACAATTATTCAGCTTAATTAAAACATACTTACTGAGTATTGCCTTTGTGCCAAAGTCTTTACAAAGATCTAGGAACAGAGATGAGAGACACTGCTCTAAACAAACTCTTCTGAATCTCCCTATATGCCTCCCTATATACCATGAGTACTCAGTTTTGTGCATTGCAGAGCAGTTATGGAGGACAATATTACCTTGAAACAAATGTGCAGGATACTTCCCTTTTAGATAATTATGAGGCAAATTCAATTTAGAAAGTGACTCAAAGAATCTTGATAAAAACAGAAACTAGTGTGAATGAATGTGGTATAGGTATTCCAAGTTCTAAAACAATATTCAGCTTTAGAAAATGTTTCAATCTGTTAAGCAAATGAAAAATGGCATTTCAAGAATTATAGTTCTGGCAGAGAAGGCAAGGTAGGCAGTGGTTCCTAAACAGGGGTTAGGATGAATGTAGATGGAACACCTCAGCTGATGAGGTTTCTCAAACTTGTTTTCTATTCACAGGCTAGTCTAGCAGATAGGGATTTGAAGCTACATCATTGAAAGAAAACAGTGACTAGTAATTACGTGGATCATTCCTATTTGCCTTCACTGATATCGATATGAAAAAGCCTAATTGGAAATTTCTTGTGATCAAATTTGTTCCCAATGTTGGAAACTGGACTTGATCTATTTTTCCAAAAGCCAACCGACATATTTGTATTGGGTATGTTAATATAACAAAGCAAGTATTGCTATTTTTAAAAATAGGAACCTACAGTCACCTTCATACACCAAGGAGGCAAAATAATTTATCTCAGGGAAATGTGTTGTTGTTAAGACAGGTTCCCGGGTGCGCAGGCTTATCTAGATGATAGAAACAGAACAAAAAGGAATTAAACTGCTCTATAAGAGGGTTGCTGGGTCAACTGGTAATTCTGCTTTTAGCTCTCTGAGAAATTGCCATACTGCTTTCCACAATGGTTGAACCACTTTATACTCTCACCAACAATGTAAAGTGTCCCTTTTTCTCCACAACCTCATCAGCATGTGTTATTTTTTTGACTATTTAATAATTGTCATTCTGACTGACATGAGATGGTATCTCATTGTGGTTTTGATTTGCATTTCTCTAATGATCAGAGATATTGAGCTTTTTTTCAAATGCTTGTTGGTCACATGTATGTCTTCCTTTGAGAAATGTTTATTCATGTCTTTTGCCCACTTTTTAATGGGGTTGTTTATTTTTCTCTTGTAAATTTGTTTACGTTCCTTGTAGATGATTTGTCAAATGCATAGTTTGCAAATATTTTCTCCCTTTTTGTAGGCTATTTACTCAGTTGATAGTTTCTTTTGCTGTGCAGAAGCTAGTGAGTTTAATTAGATCTGATTTGCCAATGTTATCATTGCTTTTGGTGTCTTTGTCATGAAATCTTTGACTGTTCCTGTGTGCAGGATGGTATTGCCTAGCTTGTCTTCCAGGGCTTTTATAGTTTGGGGTAGTCCCTAACCCATCTTGAGTTAATTTTTGTATATAGAACAGGAGTCCAGCTTCAATCCTCTGCATAGAGCTAGTCGGTTATTCCAGCACCATTTATTGAATAGGGAGTCTTTTCTCCATTGCATGTTTTTGTCAGCTTTGTCAAAGATCAGATGGTCATAGGTGTGTGGCCTTATTTCTAGGCTCTCTATTCTGTTCCATTGGTCTATGTGCCTGTTTTTGCACAGTACCATGCTGTTTGGTTATTGTACCCCCCCTTATTATAGTTTGCAATCCCACTACTGGGTATATACCCAGAGGAATATTAATCATTCTACCATAAAGACACATGCACATAGTGTTCATTGCAGGATTACTCACAATATCGAAGACATGGAATCAACCTAAATACCCATCAAAGACAGACTGGATAAAGAAAATGTGATACCTATACACCATGGAATACTATGTAGCCATAACGAAGAATGAGATCATGTCTTTTGGGGAAACATGGATAGAGCCAGAAGCTATTGGCTTTATAAAACTAACACAGAAGCAGAAAACCAAATACTGGATGTAAAGATTGCTGAATGCAAGAGATAATAAATGCTGACCTCAACAATATCAATGTTTCATTATCTAAAAATGTTCACTTGTGTTCTCTGTGTGATACTTACTATATCCCTGGAAGCAACTGGACATGCTCACATGCCTCCTTGGAAAATAAAATACCAACACAAAACACAAAACAAAACAAAACAAATAAACTGTTTATGATAGGCATTTGAAAAAAACCTATGGTGAGCAGTTGATCATGGCTCTAAGAATGCGAATTAATCAAATATGATGACATCTGACTATTTAAACTTTTTTTACTAATAAACATCACAGAGAGAAAACAGACATTTAAATGACAAAGTAAGTAAAATAAATATTTACTATTTTTAGTCTCATTTAGAAACTTGTGTCAGTGGAATTTGCTCTAAGCTATAAAAAGGAATTCATATATAGAAGACAAAGACATATTTTCCCAAAAGAAAGAATATTTACTTAATTCTAAATTGAGAACTGGTTTGAATGACTTCCCTAGTACTGTGAAAATTAACTGGCAATGATTAGAGGCCAAGGCAAGAATTTCATAATGAAGACAAAATATATAAGCTTCCTTCAAACACAGGAATCCATGCATATGTGTATTATTGCTGTTTTAAAATTTGGGGTGAATGAAAATAACTTACCTGACACAAGAATAATGAGCATCTTAGCACTGGTACCTAAGAGACTATGGAAGAATTTCAGGGTAGCTGGGACATCTTTTACATAATACAACATCTAGAAAGGAGGAAAAAGAGAAATGAGATGCTTCTCTATGTTGAAGTCTTTATTGCTTGGGCTAGATACTCCTAGAAAATTTGATTTTCTAGTTGAGTGAATTTTTACCCAGTAAAACACTTAAGAAATTCAAAGATCAAAGACATTGCATGGAGACATTGAACAATAATGTGAAAAAATATTTGGGGAAAGGGAAAAATATGGTATTTGTTCAACTAGAGTCAAATGGTTTTAAATTTACTCTTTCTGGCTTCCATAACACAGACATTTATAGCTGGAGACAGTCACCATTCCACATGGGGACATGAATCCTATGTCTATTCTATAATTCGTGAATTGCAGTTCTTCTGGGAGAAAATGGTCCCAGCACCATAAAAACAGACCCCATTTCATGGAATATTGCTTTACAATTAAGCCCTTTGCACTAGCTTCTCCATATGCTCACAGATGCTTTTTTTAAAAGCACAGAAAATGTGACAGGCTCTGATGATGACAGATTCTCTAGGAAGCTGGACTAAATAAAGCATGAGGTTATCTTCTTGGACCCAGGGTGTTTAGGGGTCAGCCCACCCATTTTTAATGATTCTGAACCAATCCCTAGTGAAGTACAGGACTTTCTACCTAATACACAGAGCTTAGACTTATGCATTGGCAGGGGAAACTGTCCCCCATGGCTTGCATCTTTGGACCCTACTCCTATAGACACTTCTTGTGTCTCATCTTCATCTTAGTTGGACAAGAATTCAATATTCCATATAGCCTGTCCTTACAGAACTCATTGCATAAAGGAAAAGTAATTTAGCTATGCCTCTTTCGTAAGAATGAATGAAATAAAATGGACCTGGCTTGTACATGGCTCATGGTGCCTTAGGGACCACACTCCACATTTTCCACCAGAGGGACCATAGGCAGGTAGCCAAATATAGTGAATCAATATGATGGCTAACAATCTACTATGTGACCTGGCTAGAAATGCAGAGGTAAGCTATAGAAGGTGCCTTAAATTTTTCTTGAAGACAGTCAAATTTTCAGAATTGACAGTGAGGTTGTAAAAGTATCATGAGAATGTGAGGACTGTAATGAGTAATAGAGAGGAAGAGTTGCTGCATAGAAAAATGGGGCATAGACAGAGATGAAGAGAGAGGAACGGGATAGTTATGCAGAGGGAAACAGACTTGCTGTAAGAAAGAAGGAACAAACATAGAGGTTTTGAGAGAAATAGGAAAGAGAAGCTGACTCCTGAAATCAAATTTGTAACAGAGAAAAGAATGGGATCCAGTGATAAGCAGAGGGAGTAGTTTTTGATAAGAGGAGGTTTTTGCAGTAAGATGGAAGAAGGAGATGATGGCAGAAGTGTAGTTATGTTTGCAAGGTTAGTGGGTGAAAAATGAGCTTCCATCTGATAGTTTCTGTTTTCTCTATACATTATGAAGTGAGGTCATCAGTAAACAATGAATGGTCTGGGAGAGATTGCAGGAGTAGTAAGGAGAGAGAGGAGTTATGAAACAGTTATGAGAGGAAGTGAGAACAAAAGCAAGTCTAGCAGGGAAAGATCTTGGCTTGCTGGACAGTGAGAAGTACCACCTGACAAAAGATTTTATCAGCGAAAGGAGCAGAGACATAAAATTGCCTGCATATGACGAAATTGGAGTATTTCTTCCTTTGACTTCTTGTAAGTTTATTCCTTTGGGGTGACTATCATTGTAGAACAGGAAGAAAAATAGTGTTTTGTTGTCAATCAAGTGGTATTTCCAAAATAGGCACATCTCCTGATGATAGCCAACTTCCAAAACCCATACATACATCTCTATGCTATTCAGAAATATTAATTATATCTGGAAATCCAGCCCCATGCTATCTACTCAGTAGTCACTCCCTTCCTATGACATGTATGAGTCAGTTTGTTGGATCTGGATGATGGAAGTAAAAATTTGTTAAGCTGAGGCATTACTTAATCTGCCCCTGTGACCCTATGTCCACTACAGAAACACTCTGGGAGATTGGTCCACCCAAATCATTAGAGCCACTACAGAATATGTTATGATGCTATCATTCTCAAATCTGTATATAAACATTCAATGATATAAAAATAAAGACTGGGTGCAGTGGCTCACACCTATAATTCCAACACTTTTGGAGGTTGAGGTGGGAAGATCACTTGAGCCTGGGATTTCAAGATCAGCCAGGGCAACATAGTAAGACCCTATCGCTACAAAAAAAAAAAAAACATAGTTGGGTGTGGTGGTGCACACCTGTGGTCCCAACTAACCAGGAAGCTGGAGTGGGAGGATTGCTTAAGCTCCAGCGGTTGAGGCTACAGTGAGCTATGATCATGCCACCACACTCCAGCCTGGGTGACACAGTGAGACCCCTATCTCAAAAAAGGAAATAAGAATTAAGCTAGCATTTTAAAAAATGAATAACTGTAGAGGTATTAGAGAAAAGTGGTTTTTGAATGTTAAAGAGAATCTTAGTATTAGAAACGTATTTATCCTTCATTTGGACAGATCATGGTCACTTGTAAAATTAGACATCAGATTTTCATTTTTCTTTTAAAAGTTAGAATAGTAGGCATTCATAATACATATATCTGAAAAGCCTTCTTTCTGAGTATAAATTATAATACATATTTCTTACCTGAATCATATGAATAAAGTCCCACTTTTGAAGCTCCTTTTTCTCTAATATTCTACTTTGATATTCAGATGATGTCTCCTTATGCCAAGCAAACTTTATGTTCTTGAGGTTTGATGTCTTGGCTACAAGCTCTAAAATACAGGGAAGAGGTGACACACCATCAATTTTAATTGCAAATGTGGAACCCATTTCCATTTAGAATTTTAATGCAATCAATGTTATATACATAACAGATATAAAGCACATTTTTCTTTTTTATGTCTGAGAGACCAGAGAGTTCATACTGCTTTTTTTTTCCTAGTATTTAATGAAATTAGAGGTGAAAGAAAGAGTCAGTAAGAAATAATTACAAGAACCCTGGGAAGACATAGGTTATATTGTCTTAGTATTAATGAAGAATCAACTGGTGAATTTTATCAATGCAAAGTGAATATGAAACAGATGATATGTTTGTATAATTCAGGAGTAGGCAAACCACAGTCTAGGAACTACATGTAGCCTGCTACTTATTTTTGTATGAACTGAAAACCAAAAACATATATTGTTCTACTTCCTGATTTTGTGTCACTGCCATTCATATTTCATGTCATTATATTTTTGAATGTTAAAAAAAACGAAAGGATGCTATATCATATGTGAAAATATATAAAATTGAAATTTTAGTGTTTACAATTACCGTTTTATTGAAACACACCCATGCTCATTAGTTTACCTTTTTTTTTTTTTTTTTCTGCCAGCTAATCAACATGACAGGTTGATTAATTGTGACAGAGACTGGATTGACCTTCTAAGTCTAAAATATTTACTATTTGGTCTTTGCCAGGAAATGTTTGCGAAATTTTGCTGTAACCCACTAAACATAAGCTCTTAAAAATTGATGTAAATAATTCTGAATCAATGAATGAATCTATACCTAAGCATGAAGATCAAAAAGTTATTGCTGATGACAACTGGGGAATGGATAAAACATCAATAGAAAATAGGAGTTTAATTATTCACTCTTCACATTTTGAGATGTTTAGTCATGCCTGCCAAGAGCTAATTCAGTTCTTCTCCCAATAAGCTTGTGAAGAGCATGCCACAGTAACTCTATTATTGATCATTTAAGTTGATTTGTCATTTGAGTTGATAAGGCTTTGGGGATAGGATCTGGTATAGAGCACCAGGAGTTACAGATACCTTTATACTTGGCAATTTGCTCAGCACTTGGCTCAACAACTTCATTGGTGATACAAACTCCTGGGTATTGAGCCTGAACTTTGGAGAGAATTTGAAGATCAATTTCACCTAGAAGATAAACATATGGGACAGGTCACATCACTCCAGCAAGAAATTATCAAAAACAATTCTAGCTGATTTATTATCTGCCCTACTTTTACCAGGAAAGCCTAGCATAAGTAAAGAATTCTTCAACTGCTTCCCTGCCATGAGGCCTGTAATGTGGAATATTAGGTTCTAAGTAGGCATAGTCATGTGACTCAAGGAGGGCTGTGAGTGTCATTCATTTATTCATATGATCTTTAATATCTATTACTATATTTCATCAAATCAAATATGCTGTTGATTGTAGAAGGAAATTAACCCTTATTTTTCTTTCACCAAGTTAGAAAAAAAAAAAAACTTTCAATTATAATTTTAAGGTTTTATCAACTGAAGAACACAACAATATCAGAGGTATTAAAATATGAAAAAAAATTCATTTTAGAATTGGTAGAGTAGCCTAAGCCGGAAGAATACAAAAAAAAAATGTCAGATTTAAAAAAGGGCACAATCAGGTAAAATAAAGAAGAAAAACATGTCAGATATCTGCCCTCATAAACACTATTACCTGTGGTACAGACACTGAAACATCCTTGGCTCAATTGAATCATGTTAGGAAGAGGGAAGAGAACATGTGGGGAGAGAATGAGAGATGAGGCCAAAGTGATGGTGCTTTATCAGGGAAAATCACTTGTGAGCTCTGTCTCTTCCAGGGTAAGTGGGAGTTAGCCCAGAAATTGTGGGGAAGTGAAGAATCTCAGGTATTGGGGACAAGATAACAGACACACAGACCAATAATAGAAGAGTATATTCGGAACTACTAGCAGTCTGGATTTCTTAGAATATTGAGCAAGGCAGGACCTCCAAGCAAGAGGTGATTCCAGAAAGGTATGCAGAGCAAGGCAGATATTTATTCATTCATTAATTCGCCAACTGTTAATTGACTGTCTACTATGTTTCAGGCACTGCACTAGGCTCTATGGAATGATTATAAGAAGAGCAGGTAGATCCGTTCCCTGGTGAAATGCAGCCTCTAAGGGATAGTGTAAGAAAGATGACACTAAGTCAGATGGACTTGAATTTTAAACCTGTCTTCTTCACTTGCTAGGTATATATGACTTTGGGCAACTTGCTTTACCTGTCCAAGCCTCATTTCTTTTTATTAGAAAAATAAAAATAATCATAGTAATTTATTAATTGTGAGGGTTAAATGAAGTAATACATATAATGAATGTATAGTGCAAAATAAAGTTGGCACTGATTAAATGTTAGCTGTTCATTATTTTTATTGTTATCTTGAGTCCATCTCTTTGAAAATATCTCTTCTCTCCCTATTGCTGATGCCTCCAACTTAAGTTTTGCACTTTTATTCAATTAGGTTATGATGTTGACCTTCATTAAAACTGAAATACCTCCTGGTAAGATTAGCATAGGAAAATGATGTCAGTCTTTAACATTTGGCATAAATGACATTAACAGAGCCTTTCCAATGTTGCACATGGCATGCAGCAAAAGTAGAAGTCATAAGACTGGGAGGTCTGGAAGGAAGAAGATAAGGGAGATAAACCAGGAACAGAAGATGCTAAACTAGGAAAAGAGAGCAGTCCAGGTCATATGAGAGCCCTCAAGTACTGGCAATAGGAGATGGTTTGCATGGTGTGTGTGGAGGGAAAAAGGGAGAGTGGGAAGGAAGCTGAAATAGAGTATGTCACTTATGTGACAATTTTCTCCAAATCCAGCCCTACCTACATGAAATCATGTATTTCTTCACTGATAACTACAGTTGCCATTTATTTTGGCCACCTACTATTTGCCAAACACTAAACCAGGCTCTTTACCTGGAACATCTCATGAATCCTGACAGCAAGTTCCATGATGTTATTAATATCCCAGCTTCATTAGTTGACTTGAGTATGTTGACATTCAAGGGATATTGATATACCTGAAGTTTAAGGCACATTTGTCTAAACCTACAATGTTTGTTCTTCTAACCACTTCAACTAAGAGGTCGAAAGATAACAAATACTAAGAAGACACAAAAAACCCTTTATTCTTCTGTTCAGCAGCTATTTTGCAGGGAAAAAAATATAACTAAGACAAAAGGCTGATAAGAATAGCTGTGGGCTAACGGGAAATAGATTCCTGCTTGCCCCCAAAAACCAGAGACCAAAAGTTTCTGTTCTTGCCTCCTATTAGCCTAGCCATACATTTCAAATGAAAAAATTATCAATTATGAGGATCTCAAATTCAACATTTTGAAAAAGATAACTGAAATGCAATTATATCCCCTCAGGGCTTCATGAGCTCTCCTCCAAAGATGGACCTAGACATTTCAGGTCGGCCTGGCTGGCAAAATGTATCCAGCACAGTCTGGGACATGTTCAGAGCCAGGCAGTCCCGCCTCCTGGGGCACTGATAGAGGACACAATGCTACAATCACATAACAGTCTCTAGCATGTATGCCCATGTGTGCTGGATTCCTAGCAAAAACGAATTAAGTTTAAGAAGAGGCAATAATGCAACTATTTCCTTAAGAGTCAATTAGAACATAAAATCTATTTCTGACCTCATACGTAGGGTGACCATACTTGTTCGTCAGGGACATTTTCATTTTATACCTGTTGCCTTAGTGTCCATCTGCTTTTGTTTTTTGGTCCTAACTTGTTAATTTTTAATCGTATATCATTAGAATTTTAGTTTTGAAAGTAGTTTTTAAAAAAGAACTATTTCATAAATTTACTAATATGAGAAAGTTGTTCAATGTGTATAAATTTCAAAAATTGCAATTTTCATTGTCTTACCTACTCTTTCCAACTTATTCTCAAAAGTATCCTACATTGGACAATAAATAATACCACTGTGCTCATAAGGCACTTATATTCTGTGCTTTTTAAAAAAGTTCTTCTAAAAAAGAATGAGATACATGTACAGAACATGCAGGTTTGTTACATAGGTAATGTGTGTCATGGTGGTTTGCTGCACCTATTGACCTGTCTTCTATGTTCCCTCCTTTTACCACCCACCCCCCAACAGGCCCTTGTGTGTGTTGTTCCCCTCTCTGTATCCATGTGCTCTCATTGTTAAACTCCCACTTATGAGTGTGAACATGCGGTATTTGGTTTTCTGTTCCTCGTAGTTTGCTGAGGATGATGGCTTCCAGCTTCATCCATGTTCCTGCAAAGGACGTGATCTCATTCCTTTTTATGGCTGCATAGTATACCATGGTGTATATGTACCACATTTTCTTTATCCAGTTTATCACTGATGGCCATTTGGGTTGTTTCCATGTCTTTGCTACCGTAAATAGTGATGCAATAAACATACATGTGCATGTGTCTTTATAGTAGAATGAATTACATTCCTTTGGGTATATACTCAGAAATGGGAGTGCTGGGTCAAATGGTATTTCTGATTCTAAATTCTTGAAGAATCGCCATACTGTCTTCCACAATGGCTGAATTACTTTATATTCCCACCAACAGTGTAAAAGTATTCCTGTTTCTACACAGCCTCTTCAGCATCTATTTTTTCCTGATGTTTTAATAATTGCCATTCTGACTGGTCTGAGATGGTATCTTATTGTGGTTTTGATTTGCAATTCTCTGATGATCAGTGATACTGAGGGTTTTTTTCATATGTTTGTTGGCCACATAAATGTCTTCTTTTGAGAAGTGTCTGTTCATATCCTTTGCCCACTTTTTGATGGTTTTTTTTTCTTATAAATTTGTTTAAGTTACTTGTAAATCCTGGATGTCAGATCTTTGTCAGATGGGTAGATTGCAGAAATTTTATCCTATTCTGTAGGTTGCCTGTTCACTCTGATGAGAGTTTCTTTTGCTGTGCAGAAGCTTTTTAGTTTGATTAGATCCCATTTGTCAATTTTGGCTTTTGTTGCAATTGCTTTTGACATTTTTGTCATGAAGTCTTTGCCTTTGCCTATGTCCTGAATGATATTGCCTAGGTTTTCTTCTGGGGTTTTGATGATTTTGGTTTTAAATTTAAGTCTTTAATCCATCTTGGGTTAATTTTTGTATGATGTGTAAGGAAGGGGTCCAGTTTTCAGTTTTCTGCATATGGCTAGCCAGTTTTCCCAGCATCGTCTACTGAATAGGAGGGCCTTTCCCCATTTTTTGTTTTTGTCAGGTTTGTTGAAGATAAGATGGTTATTAATGTAGGGTGTTATTTTTGAGGTCTCTGTACTGTTCTATTGATCTATATATCTGTTTTGATACCAGTATCATGCTGTTTTGGTTACTGTATACTTGTAGTATAGTTTAAAGCCAGGTAGCATGACACCTCCAGCTTTGTTCTTTTTGCTTAGGATTGTCTTGGCTATATGGGGGTCTTCCTTGATTACATATGAAATTTAAAATAGGTTTTTCTAATTCTGTGAAGAATGTCAATGATAGTTTGATGGGAGTAGCATTGATTCTATAAATTAATTTGGGCAGTATGGCCATTTTCACGATATTGATTCTTCTTATCCAAGACGGTGGAATGGTTTTCCAATTGATTTCATCCTCTCTTATTTCCTTGAGCAATGCTTTGCAGTCCTCCTTGAAGAGGTCCTTTGCACCCCTTGTTAGCTGTATTCCTAGGTATTTTATGATCTTTGTAGCAATTGTGAATGGGAGCTCATTCAGGATTTGGCTCTGTGTTTGTCTATTGTTGGTGTAAAGGAATGCTTGTGATTTTTTCACATTGATTTTGTATCCTGAGACTTTGCTGAGGTTGCTTATCAGTTTAAGAAGTTTTTAGGCTGAAATGATGGAGTTTTCTAAATATACAGTCAAATTGTCTGCAAACAGAGACAATTTGACTTCCTCTCTTCCTATTTGAATATCTTTATTTCTTTCTCTTCCCTGATTGCCCTGACCAGAACTTCCAATACTATGTTGAATAGGAGGGGTGAGAGAGGGCATCTTTATCTTGTACTGGTTTTCAACAGGAATACTTTCAGCTTTTGCCCCTTTACTATGATATTGGCTGAGTAGTTTGTCATAAATAGCTTTTGTTATTTTGAGATG